CAGGGATGTCTACTAAAGCTGTTGGACTGGTATGTATGACCTTAAAGGGCCTAGGAGATCTTCCTGGCAGGCAGGGACAACCAACAAAATTGGTTCCTTAGGATTATGCAGTTCCTGTAGGGGTCTTGAAGTAACTGTTGTTCTTGCCTTCAGGATTTGTGAACACTCTTAAAGAAAAATATCAAAGGCAGAAGACAACATTTCTTAAACTGAACATCTGTTCTGCTTAATATTGATCCTTACATTTGATTTACATTAATGAGAAATGGCAATATGGATATTTCATATTATTTGTGAAAATGCCCTGTGTTTTTTCATATACCACACTGGGAAGAGATCAGGATTGTATTACAGTTCTAATTAAATTTTATATGTACGAAATCAGAAATTAAACAGACATATAGAATTTATAAGAATCTGTTCAATTGTTCTAGATTAGGAGTGAGACCCAATAGTCATGACTGTGTCTGTTCTGTGATTCCATACAAGAAATACAGAATTAGGTATTGGCCTATGAATTCAGCATCCTGGAATCTTTTTATTTATTTTTTTGCAGTCCTTAGCGCTGCAAATGGTTTCAGGTCTGTAGGCTATGCTTGACGGTCTCTTCAAAACTGTAGGTGGGAAGTGTCTGGAACTGAGGTAAGTAACTAGTAGAATAACAGACAATCCTAAAGAAAACAAAGTTTGAGTCCAATGGCACCCTTAAGACCAGGAAAGTTTTATTCAAGGTATCAGCTTTCACTGGGCAATCATCATCATAATGGCAGGTAGTGAATCTGGGGAGCCAGTCTCCGGAAGAGTACAGCAAACAACCCAATCTTCTTGTGAATTTGCTGCAGGCAAGCAATTGATCTCCAGTACAAAGGTGCGAATAAAACGAGGAATGGATCACAAAAACCAAAGAATTAGGTCAAATACAGTGCCTGGAAGCAGAAGAAGCAGAGCTGCCAAGAGCCACCTTGAGCCTCCAGACAAAGATTCCATCTGCCCACCCCCCATATGACCCTGAGCCAAACCAAATATCTTGGATGGCTGTTAGCATGCGTCTATAGTAATAAAAGGATCCAAATGTCTATCTGTTTGTCATTTGTGGCACGGATAATTCATCAGGAAATAAAACTAGGAAAGTCAAAATTGGGCCACCAGCTTCAGGATGATCATGGGAATTCCAGGGCCAAAAATGAAAGGAATGGGAATATCTTGGCCCAGGTTATCTCCAGACCACCATGCTATTTGCAATAGAAACTAAGGTCGGGTAGTGGTTAAGGTGTTGGACTAAGATCTGGGAAACCAAGGTTCAAATTCCCACTCATGCCATGGAAGCTTGCTGGGTGATCTTGGGCCCATCACTCACTCTCAGCCTAACCTACCTCACAGGGTTGTTGTGAGGATAAAACAGAGGAAAGGAGAATGATGGAACTTGCTTTGGGTCCCCCTTGAGGAGAAAGGCAGGTTAAGTAAATAAATAAATAAATTCTAACTTCTGTTCCTCCTTTGTTACCACTGACACAGATTAACACTTATTATCATGTGGAGGGGGAGAGGAAGCATCCTTTTACTACTTTAATAGTTTATGGGAAAATATTAATTCCCCCCTTCAGTCCATATTATTCACAGATGTTTGCTTTGCTTCTATACTATTAAATACGTTCTAAGTTGTCAACCAGGATGAGAGAAGGTGGCACTAATATTGAGAAATAAGGGGGGGGGGATTAGAAGTTGGGGTAGGGTTTTTTTTTTTAACCACAGACTAACAAGGTTGCCCTGGAAAGATCTGGCTGTGGGTGGAACTAAAGGCAAAAGGAAATCATAGACCTTGTTAGGAGGCTGCATCCTGTCCTGGCTGGTCTTCCCTTGCTCCAGTGCAGGCTTGGCTGATGATGGGTTTTGCAAGTTTTGATCAGCAAGTGGGTTTCCTCCACCTCCCAGTAAACTTTGCGAAAAGGCAGAGGAGCTCTTTGCTGTGTTCTGCTTTCCCTGTGCCCCTAGTGGCTGCAGTCAGAACTGCGCTAGGCTATTTTTTTAAAAAAATGCCTTCCCTGAGAATACAACATGTAGTAGGCATCAGGGGCCCTCCGGCTGACTTGGGCAATGAATCTTGTCCCCCCCAGTCCCCCTCTGTCAGCGGCCCTGGATTCTACCTATTGTGATGAATGACTTCTGGGTATACTGGGCCATATTGATTACAGTTTTGCTGCTTAGCTGTTGTGCAAAGGAGCTCAGCATATAGGTTACAGTTACACATAAAACCGGGAATGGATTTTGAAGAACAAGGGAATGGGATTACTATGGGCTCTGCAAACAGAATGAGGCTAGGTCCTTCATCTGGGTAGATATACTTAAAGATGAACTGGGAGACCAATGAAATATCCCCACCCCTAACTAGACACAATCCCAACTTTCTTGGTTGCCGGAAAGGTACAGGACAGCAATCTTCCAGTCACTAGGTAATACCACTCAGTTAGCCTTATCTCTCAATTTTATTCTTTTCTACTTACGCATGCTTACTTGAGAACAATTGCCAAGAAAAAACATGGGAGTGAGTTTAATATGGTCTCTGTAAGTAGAAAAAGGATGCAATCCTTCTTCCTGGTAGCAGGCTCATTGAATAAAAGGGAATTTGCAACTCATTAAATCTGCACTGGGGTGGTCCGGAAGAACAAAACAGCCCTGAAAAAGCTCTCATTCCAATCTTAGGAAGCGTCATTCTCATTTGGGGGCTCTCATTTCAAACTTCAGGGACTGACTGTGCATTCCTAAACTGGTTTACTCAGAAACAGTCCCATTTTATTCAATAAGGCTTACTCCTAGGAAAGAGGATGGCAGCTTCTCTTTTCCTATTCCAGTTCTTTTCATTTTTGTCCCTGGAATTCCCATGATCATCCTGAAGCTGGTGCTTCAATTTTGACTTTCTTAGTTTTATTTCCTGGTGAGTTATGCCTGCCACAAATGGACAGACAGACAGAGATGTGGATCTATGATGACCTGGCCCACTTCCCTCCCTCAGAGGCAAGATTTCCCCTCCATTTTTCTCTCCTTTTCTGATTGAGCAGCCCTATTTATTGATCTTTTCTGAAGAACTATGACTGCCCCACCAGTATGAAATTTCACTGCTGGCTCAGCCCAGGAACCTGAGGAAATGGTCTCCCTCTTTAACTACTGAAATGGCACTCGTGGATTATTAAAGTTCAAAAATAACAAAATATTTTATTCAACATAGAGGGGAAAGGTAAAGTGAAATCAGAGGTAAAATTTCTGAGTTGAATCAATATAGGCACAGACTACAGGTTATATGCTTCAAGCAACTGAGAGTTTCTTAAGCTTTTCACAGTAACTTGTAATTTTTAAGATGAGAGGCTTTTGTTGAGTGTTTCCTAAATACTCCAGTATACTTTATTGAGTGTATTTGACTTTTTGGTTTCCAGAAGACAGGGATATGCTATCCAGTGCCCAAATCCATTCACTAAACACACCAGTACTCTTGAGGGGTTTTCCCTGACTCTTCAGGATTTAGAAGGCAGTTTCTAAACACAGCAGACCAGGGATCTCTCCTCTCTTCTGAGCTATCTCCCTGTTTTAACTGGGTAGGGAAATTCTTCTCTCACTAGAAGATCTATCCCCTTTTTCTGGCCTGAGTGGGAATCTTCTATGATCTACCCACTCCTCCTGCCAAACTCTCCAGTTCTCCATCTGTGTTAAACTGCTCTCAGTCAGGGCTAAACACAAACTCTGTCAGTACTAAACCCTTCTCTGTCAGGGCTAGACTCAGGCTTGTCAGTACTAGACTCTTCTCAGTCAGGGCTGAATTCAGACTCCATCAGCACCCAACTCTTCTCAAGTCAGACTCTATTCTCCTCAACATTCAGTTCTCAAGTCTTTCTCTGCTCAGCTGATGTGAACCAATCAGATGTCTTGGAGCAGCCTATCACTCCAGGTGCTCTGGCTCTGTGAGGAATTAGCCCTTCACAGTCCATTACCTGATTACATAGCACTTATAAGATTTCAAAGTGCAGTCCATCACAAGATCCTTTTATTATTATAGGTGCATGCTAACAGCCAACCAAGTAATTTGTTTTGTTAGGATATTTGATTTGGATCAGGGTCATATGGGTGGGTCCACATGGAATCTTTGTCTGGAGGCCCACAGTGGCTCTCCACAGCCCTGGTAGAATCGCCTTTAAAAGTAATTCGTTTTGGAAGATAGATTTAAACATGGTTCCAGAGACAATAATTATGTGTGTGCAGTAGTGACATCGCAATATAAGGGACAATAGGCATGCCTAAAAGCCACATGTGTGTTAAGTAGTTTTGTGCAGCCCTTACCTATTGATATCTGACAAATGACTGAATGATTTGGTCTGATTGTTGATAAATCAGTGACATATTCATTCCTGGTGATCACATAGGGTTACCAACTCTAGGTTGGGAAATTCATGGAGAATTGGGGGGTGAAGCATGGGGAGGGTGGAGTTTGGGGAGGGGAGGGACTTCACATGGACTTCGCCCTCCAAAAAAGCCATTTTCTCCAGGGGAACTGATCTGGACATCAGTTGTAATTCTGGGAGATCTCCAAGCCCTGAGGTGGGCAATCGCGTGATCACAAGCAGTCCGAGTCCCTCAGAAGCTCAGGCACCCCTACACAGAACACACCCCAGACGCTCTGCAGTGAAATTCGATGTCAGACACAGAGGTTCCTCGGCAGGCAAGTCCATATGTAAACTGTTCCCCAGAAAACAAAGACTTAAAACAATGAAATTAGATGATTTGAGGATGAAACACCTCCGGTTCTTTGTATTCAAGGGCAGATTTGTATTGGTTTCCCTATAAGAAAAAAACAACAACAACACTGCAAGTAAGCAATTATCAAATATTGTTTTTCAGGTTTAAAACAAACCTTTGTTTATTTGAATGTGTAAAGTACTCAGGAGGGAAAAAAGAATACAATAATGTTGCAGTACAGACAACTTAGACCATAACAAGCTCATCAACCTCTTAATTATCTCTTTCCAGCCTCCTAATTATCTCAGACTTTGATTTTTTAAAAAAATTGTTCCAATTGTTTTATCCAGGTGATGGTTACATGCAAACTGAATACAGCTACTTCTGATCATTGTGTTTTTGGAATTACAGACCACCATCCAAGCACCGTATTCCCACCAGGAGAATGGGATAGCTGAGACGTCAGTCCATCTGCCACACTCAAGAGTCTCTGGTACAGATGAGCTGTTCTCATTGAATAAGACTCCAGGACCTGCTTTAGCCTCATCCCAGACATATTCAGTCAGTGGGATAGGAAACCTAGAGCATCAGAGACTGTGAGAGAAATGAATATATTTAATATTTTTAAAAGCCATTTTTGTACCCAGCTTTTCATTTCATGTTCTTCTCAATCCAGTCTTTGAAAGGGATTACTCGGGTGTAGCCAGTGTAGAGTTCTAGACTGCATGTTTTATCATAGCCCCAGCTCACCAGGCCCATGAGATGCCAAGTCAACTCTGGAGATAACTTTCCTGGTAAAGGTATTGCTGCAATCCCTCCTGTCTCAGAAGGACAGATATTAGAAAAGGCAGCTGGCTGTTGTTTGGCACAAAACATACTCTCGGTGACGCTGACCTGGATTCCATTTTCCTCATACTGCTGCTCACAAACCAGTGAGTCCACAGTCTGAACAGTTCCCATGCGGATTGTGTCATTCTTGTAGTTGGGATCTGCAATATCTGTCAGGATCTTCCAACCAGTGACCACTATTTGGAAGTCATCTGCAGGCGGGTCAATATCACGCATTGATGCCAGGCATATTGGTTGGACTCGGCTGCTGATTTTGGCTTTGTCCAGAAGTTTTATGATAGCAATGTCAGAATCGAGCAATATAGGGTCATAGTTAGGATGCACTATAATGGCTGAAATCTAAGAAGGAATCAAGAAAAATGTGAAATAGCAAAGAGCACAGATGTAGCAATTCACTGTCAAGCAATTTACCTACTTATTCTCCATTTCCTAACATTTACATGGCATATAAAACTGGTGAACAGCCAAGGTATCTGGAACTTCCATTATAAGGGGACTCTGTTTTTCATATTGATTTATGACAGCCATTTAGAAAGATTTAAAATGGATGATGTTACTGATTAGGAAATAAAATGGCCATGATCTTAATAGTTGATCAATAGAAATTAATGAAGGACAGTGAGACAGAGAATCTCAACCTTTCATTTAAACTCCCATTTCTGTAGGTAAAATCCAATATTCTGCAATCAGAATATCACTCCATCATATATTAAATTGTACAAATATGCAGAGATTATACAGTTAAAAGACAAAACTCTCTACATAATTTGGATTTCTTAGAGATTAGCTGCAGGAAAGAAAGAAAATTGTATTTTGGAAATGCAGAAACTGCAGTTGAAGATAAACTGAGGATAAGAAAAAAATACAGCATTGTGCAGAACCCCTTGGTTTGGGAAGGCTTGTAGCATGTACTATGTGATCGTTCTGCAGAATACTTCACTGACAAAATGAAAGTGAACATTTTGGATGTGATCCTAATTAATATAGTAATGACAAGAATGAAAATGTTTGGACCTTCTGATTATGAAAGGAGTTTCTGACAACAAACACTGGCTATTAGATTTCCTGAATTATTATCCTATTATATATTCATATATTTCTACAGGGAATAAGGTCTGTTATAATAATCCAGACGTCTACTCACATTTTGACAGCCAGAGAAATCCTTCCAACAAAAATGGACAGGAACAATGATGCTTAATCAAGAGTTTAGTTCTATGCTTTCCAATTTTCACTGTTGTTTCAAAAATGATTTCCGCAGCCAGAAAGCTACTGGCTGCCTGCCTCACAAAGTATCCTCACTAATTACCATTGGCATTAGCCAGTAGGCTTTAGCAATATTATCTGAGACACCAAATGTTTGAGAGTAAACGGCCATCAGAATGAATGGGATGTGCTGGTGTAGGAGGTGTATACTGTCATTATATGTTCATCAATGAACATAAACATCTACCAAGTACCTTGCTCTGGTAGATTTCATTAAAAAGCTACTTCAAAAGCAAATAAAAATGCCCGGTGGGAACAAAGCAAATAATTTCTGAAACTCAAATCCTAAATTCTCTTGTCCAAATCAGTGCTTTGGACTTAGCTTCTATACTTGCCTATACTTACCTATACTTGCAGCCTCAGAATTTCTTTTCCAAAAGCCCTGCAATTCTGTTGGCTTTAGCACTCATCCTCAAACACAGTCATTGTGCCTGAACACCTTACTCACCCGTAAGTTCTGTATCGTCTTTTCATCTCTGTCATCATCTCTGTAAAACTTGCCAAGGACTACTTTGAGATCCGCTGTTTTTAGAACTGTGACCTTCCCCAAATTGGTAACGCAGTGAGATGCCACCACTACTGTGCGTTCATTCAGCAAGGCGCCACTGCAGATCAGTATCCATGCTCCCTTTTGGTGACTGGGGGTCTTCACCCCGTTGGCTTTCCTATAGATGGCTGCTTGCCATGGCCATCTGAGAGTGGATGCCTTTTGAAGAGTGGTGTTTTCTAACTTCCCACAAACTGCCAAAAGTGGGAAAAAATCATCTTGTTAATACTTCTGTTAATCTTTTTAAAGTGACCCAAATCCATGTTCGAAATACCACCCAACAGCCAAACTGCACGGTGTGGCAGAAAAAAAGTTGTACAAAACAGTAGCTAGCTGATTTTCAAAATTCTACCCTCTCCTAATATCCCACAATTGCATTTTATTTTGGAGACAAAATGTGTTTTAGTATCATTTCAGATAATGAATGCTTAGCTAAAATAGGTTATAACAGTTCTAATTTTATAAACTTCTTATACACTTCTGCTTTTATGTACTTCTTATACCACCCTCAATGGACAACAGACAGTGAGGAAGCAGCAGGCCAGGTCTTCTCATTCTTGTGAACATTTTTTGAATAATGTATACATATGATGTAAATGAATGTCTAAAGGGAAGAGTATCTTCCTGCCCTGCCCTGGATAGCCCAGACAAGCCCAATCTCATAAGATCCTGGAAGCTAAGAAGGGTTGACTCTGGCAAGTATTTGGATGGGAGACCTCCTTGCAATACTAGCAGTCAGGAGGACCGGGGCAGACTTTATTCAGCCACCTCTCTGAATACCCTCCATGTCCCCAGTAGGGGTCAGTCATCAGAGGTTGTCATGACTTCCAGGTACGCGCACACCCGTACATATGAAAAAATTTAAAAACACCCCCCCAAAAAGAGTGTCTTCCTCATTTTATGGTTTACTAGGGGAGAAAACGGTCATAATAGTGATATACTTATTCATATGCCCATCACTTGTTTAAAAAGGAATGGGATGGGGGGGTATATTTTAAAAAAGTACACAGTGTTGCAATTAAAGAAAGCTGAACACTTTCACATATGCTGAATAAAGCACTTTCAGTCCACTTTTAATGGACTTTAGCAATCGTTTGTAAGTGGATTTTGCCATTTCACACAGTAAACTCCAGTTACTAAGTGCATTGAAAGTGAGTTGAAGCATGTGTGAAAGTGTCTAAACTGCCTTCTTTATCTTTCTGCTCTCTGTCGTTTGAAGTATTTTTCTCCCAGCCTAGCTATGGCATCAAAAGTGAGTCAGGCTGGAAAGAAAACTGCTTAAAATTAACAGTGTGCATTGGATAAAGAGTGACAAGGCAAAGTTTCATTCCCTTTCATACACACTCAGTTTTCTCAGATATGAATTCAGTAACTCTAGTCAATTTTGGTATAACCTTTTATAGTTGGTCCATAGAAGTTCATAGGAAGTTGAACAATAAAATGAATAGGGCAGGCTTTATTCAGCCACCTCTCTGAATATCCTCCATGTCCCCAGTAGGGGTCAATCACCAGAGGTTGTCATGACTTCCAGGTACGCACACACATGTACATATGAAAAAATTTTTAAACACCCCCCCAAAAAGACTGTCTTCCTCATTTTATTGTTTACTAAGGGAGAAAACGGTCATAATAGTGATATACTTATTCATATGCCCACACCTTGTTTAAAAAGGAATGGGATGGGGGAGTGGCTATCTTTTAAAAAAGTACACAGTGTTGCAATTAAAGAAAGCTGAACACTTTCACATATGCTGAATAAAGCACTTTCAGTCCACTTTTAATAGACTTTAGCAATTGTTTGTAAGTGGATTTTGCCATTTCACACAGTAAACTCCAGTTGCTAAGTGCATTGAAAGTGAGTTGAAGCATGTGTGAAAGTGTCTAAAAGTGTCTCTGTCGTTTGAAGTATTTTTCTCCCAGCCTAGCTATGGCATCAAAAGTGAGTCAGGCTGGAAAGAAAACTGCTTAAAATTAACAGTGTGTATTGGATAAAGAGTGACAAGGCAAAGTTTCATTCCCTTTCATGCACACTCAGTTTTCTCAGATATGAATTCATTCTGCTTCTGGTATTAATATCAAGATGCTTATAGTATTAATATTTGAAGGGAAATCTTTGTCGGCTTTGGACTGAATCCAGATTCATAAGATGGGAACAGTCCATTTCTAAACAAACTTTTCATTAAGATCTAGACATGACAAACACAGAATGGTGAGAACAACATTAACAGTTAGCAATTCTATAGTGTTCTTTCAGTGTTCCAAGCACTTCACATGCATTGTCATAGTAATCTCTACAGCAGCCCTGTAATATAGGTCACTATGACTATTTCCATATTGCAGATGGGAGACTGAGGCTGACAGAGAGAGAGAGAGCAGCCTGCTTAAAGCCATCTAATCAGTGTGTGGATGAGATGACATTGAAACTGGCAACCTCTTGAATCACTGCTCAGTCTCTTAGCCACTCTGCTCCATGAGAAAAAGTGATGTACTGGAGATGTTGCAGATTATGGTGATGGCGTAGCGTAGTGGCTAAGGGTGTATCGTGAAAAGATGTGTCCTTGGCTTCAGCGGTACCTCAGCCACAAATGCACTGTGTAGTGTTAGTCAAGCATCTGTTTTTGCACCTTTAACCCTGTACCCCGCTATCTGCAATATAGAGATAATAGTGACCTTTTTATGGGTCTTTTCTAAAGATTATCAAGATAATATATGTGAAACACTTCAAATGCAGCATGTACATGCTGAGTATAATTAAATTGTTATTGTTAACAAGTAAGTATGCTTTAAGCATTTTAATAGCAACAACACAATTACTTCTTTTGTCTCGATTCCCTCTTACTTGGAATGCATGAAGGCGCCCGCCCACTCCATTTTCCTGTTTTAAGACAGGTTCTCCTGCTACTTCCCAGGCGACGGTAGAAGGGGGAAATGCAGTCATACTGAAGCTGTGTGTGAAGATGCTGGAAGCCTGGTGGTAGCTCACCAAATGGCAGTGATGGCTTTTTGGTTGGATATATATCCAGTTTATGCTTGCTAAATGCAGATGAATAGAGCCGATGCAAAGGAGTCTCTCTGTTTCAGTGCATAAGGAATATGAGAGTATAAAACAACATGGCCCCAGAATGTCATTACTGCATTTTTATCAGCATTAGTACCACTTATGAACAAAATTTCACCATAAATAGGACCTCTAGTCTAGATATATAATCCAGAGAATGTTGGACCATGCTTTAATCCTCATGAAGAGTTTAACTGTGTTCTTATGTTCACTGATATCATTGTCCCCAATACAGCACAGCATTGGCTGGGCTTAAACCAGTGGGGTTAAGTGTGCCTAACCAGTGTTCCCTCTAAGCTGAGTTAGTGTGAGCTAGCTCAGTTTTTTAGCCTCCGGCTCACACATTTTTGTCTTAGCTCAGGAAGGATGACTCCCAAGCAAACTAATTTATGCAGCAGCCAAATTGCTCACTCACAACTTTAATGCCAGTAGCTCACAAAGTATATTTTTTGCTCACAAGACTCCATAGCTTAGAGGGGGCACTGTGCCTAACTGTGCTAGACTGAGTCTAATGAGTCTTCAGCACATATACTTTCCTTTGATTAAGTCCTAAATTAACAAATAATCCAACAGAAATCAATCAGTGTAATTCCCAGAGTGTTTCCTTTTATACATGTGTCAAGAGACTCACAAATAAAGACTGCTCTTCTAAACGGTTGAGAGTTGATTTCATTGGCAAAGATTTAGGGTCTGCTTCATCTACCTACACCCTACTTTTCATGTTTATTTTTTCACTTCTTGGGGGGGGGTTGAATAGAAAATGCTCATTCTGATGTGACTAGAGAAAAGGGGCATAATAAGTATAGAATATCCAGCATAAAGAGAAAATAATGCCCAACTGCTTGATAGAATTCCTTCTGACCCCTAATGCCAGTGACATACTCCTCCATTCCTGACATTTTCTTGAAGGTTTTGTTGTTGTTGTTACTTCTGTTCTGAGCGCTCCCCCATGCAGTGGCCCTGCTTGCGTAATTCAAATTCATGAAATAAATAAAATTTGTGCTATGAAAGAAATAAGCTCCCCCATGCAGTGGCACTGCTTGTGTAATTCAAATTCATGAAAGAAATAAAATTTGTGCTATGAAAGAAATAAAAATTGAGCTGCGGTGGCTCAAATGGTTAAGACACTGAACTGCAGACTGTGGAAGGTCAGTAGTTCAGCAGTTCGAGACCCGAGTGTGCCGCATGATGGAGTGAGCTCCCGTCTCTAGTTCTAGCTCCTGCCAACCTAGCAGTTCGAAAGCAAGAAATTGCAACTAGATAAATAGGTACCACTTCGGTGGGAAGGTAACAGCGTTCCGTGCGCCTTGGTGTTTAGTCATGCCGGCCACATGACCACGGAAACGTCTTCAGACAGCGCTGGCTCTTCGGCTTGGAAACAGAGATGAGCACTGCAACCCTAGAGTCGGACTCGACTGGCTTTCGAGCAAGGGAACCTTTACCTTTACTTTACCAGCAGGTTTTAAAAGAAGGAAGACCCCTGAAGCACAGTGAGGTGACTGTAGGTTCCCATCACAGAAGAGCTGCTCTGAAGGAAGAAGCCCCAAACCTTCAAAGCTTATAAGCAGCACTGAAGCACTAAGACCCATTGTCCTCAGTCTGACTTTGCTTCCAAGTACGTATCATTAAGACTGGACTGTACTGTAGTGAGTTTTTTGGCTTGTTTGCTGGATGAGCTGCAGCAGAGAATCCTGTTAATAGGATGCTGGTTAGAAACACTATGTAAACAACTTATGGGATCTCCTCTGTCATATGAAGCCCAAAATAATCATAGCACTTAATGGATTCAGATTTGCTTTGATCACTTCGGTCACATTTATGGTTGTTCTGATGCAACAGAACTAACTCAGGGGCACCCAATGAAATCAATAGGCAGTGGATTCTGGACCGACCAAGTACTTCTTCAGGCAATGCATAATTAATTTCTGGAACTCATTGCAGGGGTGGTTTTGGTCAACAGGAGCTGCCCCAGGCCCTGTCTGTCCATGGCCCCAGCTGCGATGGAGGGAGGAAGGGAGAAAAAGAGCAGACTCCTGCCACTGCCATTTGCACCCATCCTCCTCAGGGTCTGGGCCACCTGCTCACTGTGACAACCACTTGCAATCACCCTTTCCAGGGCTTAGGCAGCCAGTTCAGCAGTGGCTGTTTGAGCTTGCTCCATCCAAGGCTTGGGCAGCCAACTTTTGACAAGGCTCCAACCTGCCTCACACAGGGTGGGGCAGCCCCTTGCTTGGATCTGGTAAGGGGCCAGCAGGTGGCCGGGGTTGTGTGATTGTGATTCTGGATCCTAAGCCTTGACTTTTGCCCAGTGCTCCAGAATTACTAAGACTGCCCCAACTCACTGCCATGTGCCACAGGATATGGTGATAGCCACTAGCTTAGTTGGCTTTAAAAGGGGATAAGACAGGTTCATGGAGGAGAGACCCATTAACAGTTATTAGTCATAAGGACTGAATGAGAATTTCATCTCAGCTCCATCTCCCTTCGCAGCTTTTTATATATTGGGTTTCACACATCCAGACTCTAATGGAGCTATCATTAGAGTAGGATTTTCCTGGGACTTCTTGCCTGGTTCATTATTTGTTGCAATGCCAAAGATGTGTTTATGCAGAGCTGCCACATCACCCATCAAAAGGGAGTGAGATTAAAGGCCAAGCTAGATGACATGATGTACACGGGGTCATGATGGGGATGCTTAGTGCCATTTTGCTGCTACAGTTCATTCATTTACTAACAGTGCCAAGGCCTGTTTCTACTCAGGACCATGGAAAGGGGGAAGAAGGTGCTGCTGTTTCTCCTATGTGCCATTTTCTAGACCCAAAACACCTGGGGTGGTGGTGTCCCCAGAGACACAGTGTTGTCTTGTTTGGCCCTAAGAATACAAAATTCCAGGGGAGTGAGGCAAGTCCATCTCCCTTCGCAGCTTTTTATATATTAGGTTTCACACATCCAGACTCTAATGGATCTATCATTAGCCTAGGATTTTCCTGGGACTTCTTGCCTTGTTCATTATTTGTTGCAATGCCCACCGACATAAGATGTGTTTATGCAGAGCTGCCAAATCACCCATCAAAAGGGAGTGAGATTAAAGGCCAAGCTAGACGACGGGGACACCATGTGGATGCTTAGTGCCATTTTGCTGCTACAGTTCATTCACTTTACTAACAGTGCCAAGGCCTGTTTCTACACAGGACTAGGGGGAAGAAGGTGCTGCTGTTTTTCCTATGTGCCATTTTCTAGACCCCAAACACCTGGGGTGGTGGTGTTCCCAGCGACACAGTGTTGTCTTGTTTGGCCCTAAAAATACAAAATTCCAGGGGAGTGAGGCAAGGTTCCACCAGGGGTAGTAGCAGCATAAGGGTACTAATTAAACATGTTTGGTATGTTCTAAATGTGAGGGAGGAGGCCAAGAAGGAATCGTTGGGTGCCTGTAGTGGCTCTCAGCATCTCTTTGCTCATGTGATGATCTCTAACCATATGTGATCTCTTAGCTGTAATCTTGGATGCTTGCGTTTAATGGGTCACTACCCCAACAATCAGCTGACATTTTGGTAACAAGAGTGTAGTGCATACAAAACACTTCATGGGACGACTATCCAACTGAACTAACACACACGCACAAAGAAACAACATTTCATTTTAACACTGTAGTTAAAGTATTGCAATCTCACCTTGACTGAACCTGCATTGGGAGTACTTTCTGCCTCACCAGGTCAGAGATCTTTGGCTCTCTGCAAGCTAGAAACACAATGATGCACAAACCTTTACCATGTTCAGAGTTTTGAATGTTATGCTTCAGATCCCCGTCCACCCTTTCCTGTCACTAACAATAATGGTTTAAAATGAAAAGCAAAATGTATGCATATAGCAACTACCGGTATGTACTGAAGGGGAGAATTAGATTATCAATCAATCAATGTTTATTTACGGTCCAAGACCATTGATCAAAGAAATACATATTCATTAGGTACAAACGAATTTGCTTTCAGCTCAAAAGATATTTAGACATATAACCTTAAAATCATTAAAAGTTTAAAAATCAATTGTATCAAAAATTATAAAATATCTACAACTGAACTAATTATGAGTTGTGTGGAAGGTAGATAAGGGTTATGCTTGATCTTTATTGTGGAATTTTACCAAATGTGAGCAGAATTTAGCTATTTGTCTAGAGATTTGCTGATTTTCCTCTATCAAAAGTCTCTCAAGATTGGCACTATCTGCATCAAGTGCTGGTCTATCTAAGAAGGGGGTGATAAGCTTGTCCCTGTAAGCTTGATGAAAAGGGCAGCAGAAGAACATGTGGAGCAACGATTCCACTTCTCCAATAGAACATGGGCAGCACCTGTCTTCATATGGTATCTTTCTATATTTCCCTTCTAGGGCCATAGGGGGAATAACCGCACAATGAGCCAAGGTATGGCACATCCAGATAAGTCAGGTATTTAGCCAAATTCATTACATATCTGGAGTCATTGTGGGCCAGGAAGGAAGGAGCTCGATTTAGTGCTCTAGATCACAGATCCTTTGTTTAATTATACTTCTCACCTGTATACTATTTTGTGCTAATAAATCCTCAGGCAAGTGTCCCATTTTTTCGAAGTTAGTCTTGGCCCTTCGGATCCACCTTGGCTGATAAGAATCTTTATTTATTAGGGGGAGAAGTCCTTTTGTATCTGAATTGATCTTGAGCCATTGGTATACAGAGGATAACAATACTCTGGCTTCTAGAAGATTGACAACATCTTCAAAGCTAAGGAATTTCTGAAACGTCAGCTAGGGCCGGGGGAAGAACTTAAAGATGAAGAAACCAAAGCAAGTGACTCTGTTACTTCTGGAACGGACGAGGACTCTGTGGGCGAAGCAGGTGCGGGAGCGGGAGCAACGAAAACTGTATATGACTTTAGAGATAGAAAACCGAAGTAAGGGCAGAAGGACTCTGTAAATCGTTCTTTGAAGTAAAGAAGATGCTCAAGAAGTACTCTCATAAAAACTAACTTACTAATAAAGAAGCTGTTTAAAACAAGAACTTCACAAGTATATTGTGTTACTAACACTTGTATTACTTACA